GCTTAAAGACGGCGGCGGTGACGGGGGGCGCGCGCGGGATGTGGGCGCGCGCGGTGCTGGCGGGAGCGGCGCTACTGGCCGCCGCGTGCGCGCGCGCCTGGCCCGGCGGAGCGGTGTGCGCGCGGCGGGTGGCGGCGGGCGGCGAGCGCTACGCGGCCTTCCTGAGCGCAGGGCCGGGGCCGCCCGCGTTGGTGGAGGGCGCGTGGGGCGGGCGCGGAAAGCTGCGGGGCTGCTGGGCGCGGCGGGACCCCCGCGAGATCCGCGCTTTCCTCGCCGCCTGCGCCCGCCGCCCGTCCGCCGCTCCCGCGCCCGCGCTGCGCCGGGACGTGGCCGCGCTGTGGAGGCGGCGGGCGGCGTGCGCCGAGCCATCGCAGCACCGCGGGAACCGCAGGCGGAGGAGGGGTTGGACTGTGCCGGGGACGCTGTGGTGCGGGGCCGGGGATTCGGCCGGGAACTCCTCCGAGCTGGGTACGGGCCGGGGCGCCGCGCGGGGCCGCGCGTGGCGGGGCGGGCACTGAACGTCGCCGCCCGCAGGTCTGTTCCGCGGCCCCGACCGCTGCTGCCGGGAGCACGATCGGTGCGGGACGCAGATCGAGGCGCTGCAGTTCGGCTTCGGCATCCGCAACTACCGCCCGCACACCGTCAGCCACTGCGACTGCGACGCCGCGTTCCGCCGCTGCCTGCGGGCCCTCAACGACACCGTCTCCGACCTCATCGGAGTCACCTTCTTCGACCTCCTGGAGGTGCCGTGCTTCGTGCTGCGGAGCGCCGAGCAGTGCGTGCGCTGGCACTGGTGGGGCGGGTGAGTGCGGGGCCGCGGGAGCCGCGGGCTGCGGCCGTCGGGCGGCTCCTGATGCGGCGCCCTCAGCTGCGAGCGGTACGCGGTGGTGCCGGTGGCCACGATGGTGCGGCAGAGCCCCTACGGCACCGCGGCCGCTGCGGCCGTCGGGAACTCCGCGTGCGACGAGCAGCCCGGCGCCGTCGGAGAGGCGGAGCGGTGTGAGACCGGCCCGGGGAGCGCTGCGGGAAGACGGAGGGGTGAGCGCCGGATGGGGACCGGAGAGGGCGTCCCCGGGCCGAGAGCTTCGGTCTGATCGCCGCTCTCTGCCGCCAGGGCTGGGGAGGCTGTGCAGAGCCTATCGGCACCTGGATCGCTGCGAGCACCGCATCGCGCCCCGCGAGACGAAGTACGGGCTGCGGAACGGCGGTACGCGGACGCTCTTCCACTGCAACTGCACCCGCAGGTGTGTGCCGTGCGGCGGCCTTTCCGTCCGTCCGTCATCGCCCAGAGCGAGGCTGGAGAGGGGGGACGGGCGGGGTGCTGAGAGCTGCCCCGCTGTCCCCGCAGAATGGTGAGGTCCCTGCGCAGGGCGAAGGGCCCCGGGGGCGCGGAGCCGCCGCTCCTGGCGGAGCGCATCGCCGCGCGCTGCTTCGTGTTGGAACCGCAGGCCGAGTGCGGAGCGGAGCGCCGGAGCGGGTGAGTGCGGAGGGAACGGGGATGGGCCGGGGCTGACGGTGCTTGGTTCGCCGCAACGCTCTCTGTTCTGTTCCTCCAGCAGCTGTGACGCCGCGGTCCGGGCCGTGCTGGTACCCGCACGGCATCTGAGGACCACGCTGCGGCGCCGCGGTGCTGAACGTCGGGAGTGGAACGAGCAGGAGAGCGGCGGTGATGCTCTGTACGAACGGTGCCGGCGGGTGGCCCTGGAGCAGGGGATGGGAGCCCCGCAGCACCCCGCGCCCCGCTGAGCCCCAGCGGATGGGCTGTACCGTGCGTGGGGAGGAGCTGCGCTGCGGGGCGGAGCTGCTCAATGTCGGGTCCTTGAGAGAAAGGATGGCACCGAGAGTGGCTGCTGGCGTGACTGCGTGGGGCAGGAAAGGGGTGGAGGAGGCTCAGCTGCCATCCCTAGGAGCCGCGGCTGCCACCACAGCAAAGGGAAAGGAGAGGGGGCAGGAAAAAGCGACCGCCCCTGAAGGATGCTGCGGGCATGGGAGCCCCGGGCAGGACGGTGCCAGGACCCCCAGCCCCGGTTTTGCCCCTGCAGCAGGGGGGTTGGGGCGAGTCAGGTTCCACCCCGAGCTCTAGAGGTGAGAGCACAGTGCCGTGCCTCGGAAGGGTCAGTGCCTGCGTGTGGCACAAGGCAAATAAAGGGCAGAGTGACACGGTGCACGGTGCTGGGGTCCTGCATTCCCCACAGCCCCCACCCTGCAATAAGCACAGTGCAGCTGGGGCAGGCGGGATGCTTTATTTTGTTGCTCACACTATGTCCAAGCCCGAGGCACAGTAGTAAGGGCAGGAAAGAAGCAAGCTCCCATCTGCAGGGTGCCCGCAGCAGTGCTGTGCGCCAGGAGGAGGGGGCAAACATCCTCATTTGCAGCGCCATCCCTGGCCCCCAGCACCCCCAGGCCACTCACCTGCCCTAGGACTGAGCGTCCCGCAGTTCTGACACACACGAGGGGTTCCCTCACCACCACTCCCTCCCCTGTGCCTCCTTTGTAGCCCCGGGAGGAGCAGGGCAGGCAGGCAGCGGGGGTGCAGGGGTGATTCACTGCAATAAATAAGGGAGGGGGGATGGCTCACAGCAGGGACGTGGCACAGGAAAGCACACAGCAAGCGCGCTACGGAGGGAGGGGGCGCAGCCTCAGCGCCCCATGGTACAGCTGTAACCATCCAGCTCCCGGGGACTGCCCCCTTCCTTTGGGGAAGTGCTGCAAGGAGGGCTGGTGGGGCTCATCCTGCGGCAGGGGTAGCCCTGGTCCGCACTCTCCCTCCGTCGGCCCATGGCTTGGTCAATGGTTTCCAGGCGGAGCGCAGGCAGCAGGCCCAGGTTCCTGGGGTCAGCCCTGGCCAGAGGGTTGTCAGCAGCAGCACGCCGGGCAACGCACGGCTCCCGCACAGTCTGGTAGAAGGAACCTGGGCCGCCCTCCTGGCTGTTGGCCACCTGCCCCGATTCCTTGGCTTTGGATCCACGGCGTCCCAGCTCTGTCTGGGGCAGGTGGATGGCAGGGATGTCCCCGGTGAGGCCACGGCGGCTCTGGGGTGAGGGGCTCCGGCTGGTGCCCCGGTCACGGCTCGATGGGCGCAGGATGAGACCCTGGAACTTGGCCAGGCTGGGGCTGCGGCTCCGGTGCCGCTTCATCTTGCCTGGGCTGGGGCTGCGGGATTTGGGGGCCAGCAAGACAAGAGTGCTGTCATCCTCCTCCTCTGAGCTGCTGCCCGAGCTGTCCGTAGGGCTGCTGCCCTCCTCGGATCTAGGCAGGGAGATCTGCACCACACATCAGCATTGGGCCCTGCCCCACACAGGGGGCTGCGGGGCACTGCAGCAGGACGCCCTGCCCTGCTGAAACCTCCCTCCCGCCACCCTTCACCTCGAGGCATTGCTGACCTGGAATGGCTCTGTCACACCCACGATGCTGCTGGAGGTGTTGCTGTAGTACCCGAGGATGTACTCTCCCTTCCCCTTGGGCAGCGCTTCCTCTGAAAACATCACCTGCAGCAGATGGGCATCAGGCTGAGCACAGGGCTGCACCCCCCAGCCACCCATACGTGGGCCTGCACCCTGCTTGGTGCCATCCAAAGGTTCAGAGGCTGCTGCTGCCTCACCCCGTGGCCCTGACTCCCAGAGTTGCTCACCTGTGCACACAGCTGCTTCTCTACGCAGCGCTCTCCATCATCGCTCCTGGCCCAAACGTAGGACACATAGTCTTTAGGATGCCGAAAACCCACCTGTGGAAGAAAGGAGGTGAGCTGGTGCTTTTGCTCTTCTCTCAGCTCCAGCAATAGCTTCGGGCCATATGGAGCCCACAGAGTGGGAGAAAGAGAAGTGCTGGATTCACAGCCCAACGTGGCCTTCCCAGAATGGGAGAGCCCACACTCAGGCCGTTCATCAGCACCTGTGGGAGGGGGCAGCTACAGAGGGGATCACATCACACTGCCAAGGACCCCAGCCCCTACCCGGTAGAGGCCAATCCAGTCCCAGGAGCTCCGGTGAAAGCCAGCAGCCATCTTGTACTTGACAACTGCTTGCTCAGGCCTGATCCACTCATCAGCCACAAAGATCTCCACCGGGGGCTTATCTGCCTTGGAAGCAAACTGGCAGAGACGTGCAGATGGTGGGTAAGAGCAGGTGGGAGCAGCACCCCCACTACCCCCAGCCATGGTGGTGAGACAGCAGTCCTGCCCGGCAAAGTAAGAAAGCCACACACAGGGCACACATTCACCCAGCACGGCTGTGGCCAGCAGCCCTGGCAGCTGCTCACCTGCACAGCAAAGATGGCAGCTACAGGCTTGTGGTCGCTGACCATGTACTCCATGTGGCTGCAGTAGCAGAGCTGGCTCACCGACAGCACACCCCGGCTGGGCCGGCGCCCGCCCACCCCGGAGCTGGGAGATTTGATCTTCCAAAGGATGCGGTCAGTCCAGGCGGGTTTTCGCTTCTTGGCACTGCAGGGCACAGAGGGGCATCTCTTGCCTGGCAGGGGGGCAGTGGGCTCCACCCCAACCTGCCTCCCCCTGGCACTATGGAGCACGCAGGCAGGGGATGCGGCTCGTCTCGGCGCACAGCTCAGTGCAGCTGCAGGGACAGACCTGCACTGGCACCAGCACAATGGCTGTGTCCCAGCCCACAAGCTTCCCTCTGAGACCCCCACGAACCTCAGCCGTGCCACCCACCCCCAGCATGCACCCCGCTGTCCTACCTGCTGTCGTACTTGTTGGTGCCCACATCAAACTTGAACGTGGGGGGGAAGTTGAGGGGTCCCTCCTGAAAGCCACTCAGGACAGGCCAGGTGCTTTTGGCAATGTTTAGCTGTGGGCAGGAGAGCAGCAAGGCTCCATGGCCCCAGCTCTTCCCAAGAAAGAAGCTCCCAGGAAGGAACTGCTGATGTGCACAGCTCCGATGGAAAACACCCTGAGGGAACACTGCCTGCCGCTCCTCCATGAGCTGGAAGAGCCTGTGCCCTTGGTGCCAAGCCCAAGAACACAGCTGGCAGTGAACCCAGCCCACTCACCTGGTCCTTCTCCCAGAGCTGGCTCAGGATGTTGCTGTCAATGGCATATTTGACGAAGCGGATGTCAAGGCTCTCAATGCGGAAATTGAGGTCCCCAAACCAGAAGACGAGGCTGCAGGCGGGAGGGCAGTGAGCAGCAGGGCGCAGGCATCAGCACCAGCAGGGTAGGAACCAGTCCCAACCCTTGAGGGTGCCAGGAACTGCAGCAGGCCTGGCTGCGCCCCAAGAGCAAACAAGGGCTCCTTTTAACACCTTTTGAACTGCACCTCACTGGACCAAGGGACAACTCCGCAGCTCTGCCATCCAGACCCCACCTCCAAGCTGCGCTCGGATTCAGATGCCAGACCCAACCCCCTCTGCAGGCACAGGGCTGGTCCTCCAGCATCGGCACAGAGCAGTAGGCAAAACAGCGAGGTACTCACTCATGGTCCAGGATGCCACTGGCTGCCCTTCCCTCAAACTGCTGCATGTGCAGTATGGTGGCAAAGTCCTCCTTGCGCTGCTCCGCCTTCTCCAGGTGTGCCGGCAGGTGGCAGTTGAGGAAGCACACCATGTGCCCGAAGATGGACAGACGGACGCTCACCCCTCCTTTGTTGCCCTGCCGCAATTGGGTGCCGTGAGACCCGAGGAAGGCAGCCCTCTCCACCCCCCCCCGGACCACACTCACCCAGTAGCCGCCCAGCCCTGTCCTAGTGCAGTCTGTCTGGATGTCCTGCAGGAAGGGGAGGTGGTAGTACTTGGCAAACACCAGCAGGATCACACCTTGCATCCGCACTGTGCTGACCTGGAACAGGAGCAGTGCTTGTAGCAGGATGACAGCCACAGCACAGCCCATAAAGGCAGGGACAGTTCCAGGCCAGAGCAGCACCTTCATGCCCATCTTACAGGTGGCTAAGCAGCACATTTAGCTCAGAGATCCAGAGCTCGCCTGGATTCCGACCACTGACTGAGATGAGCCCAGCAATGCTAGGACTTATGTACTCTGTCACTGGCTGTCTGGGGAGCTGAGCCTTGCCCTGGGATCTGCAGGCTGCTGTCAGAAGCACAGGCTGGATCCTCTCCTCACCCTGGTGCAACACAGTGGGCAACAAGGTGTGTTCCCAGAGTACCACAAGGGAAGCCAAAAGCAACCAGAGAAGCAAGTAGAGCGGCAGAAGCCAGGCAGCATACTGCAAAAATGCCCCATTCACCTTCAGCTCAGCTTCCACATGCTGCTCAGAGGGCTGCATGGCATCTCTCTAGCCAGGTCCTCTCCTGCACACCCTCCACCCCTCTCTGCCCTGCCACCCTCCCCGTGCCCCCCTGCTTGGCTGGCAGGCACAGAGGGGACACCGGCTGTCCAGCCCCTTTGGGACTGCCTTACCAACACAAAGTGGAAGGGGCTCAGGACATCCATGAAGAGCTCGCTCCACTGATCTGTGAACAGGGCGTCCTTCAGGCGTTTGTTTATCTTGGAGTTCACCTCCTGCAGCCTGGGAGAAGGACAAAGTGCTTTGCAGAGCCTGTCTGATCCCAGACGGATCCCTCAGCAACAACAGGAAGGCACCTGCATCCCAGCCAGGGAGAGCTCCTTGGGCGAGGCACCCAAGGACAGAGCTGCAAGGGCATTCCAAGGGAGGACCCTGGATTTAGAGCACAAACCAGCTACATCCTCGTGCTAGCGATGCTGGGTAGCAAGAGGCACAAGAGGCAATGAAGCTGCAATGCTTCGGCCCTCTAAGCAGGAGCAGTTCAGCTGCACAAGGCTGGGCAGCAGTCTAAAGTCTATCTCTAGGTGCAAGAGGGGCTTACAGGACATGTCAGTTGCATGGAAGTCTGCAGAGAAGCCAGGTCCCACCAGTACTTCAGCACAGGGCGTCCGGATGCATCCTAGCCACCGAGCTCACAGCAGCAGCGACAGAAGGTTAACAGTGCTCCTCCCCACTCAGCAATTAGAGAACAGAGGGAAGGAGAGCATCCCCAGAGAACAGCAGAATCAGGAAATGCCTTGCCCGAAAATATTGAGTGCCCCGGGCACAAAGATACGGGTCAGAGGAAGGACATGGGCAGGCAGAGGCACTGTGGAGGCTGGGGCAGCTCACCAGCACAGGGCACCATGCCCTGGCCACAGCACAGTCCCAGCCAGTCCTTCACACCAAGCAACACCCCTGCCCTGACCCATGCAGGTAGGGTCTGCCTGCAAGGCTGAGGGGCCCCAACCAGGAGATGGGCTCCAGCAGCCTCCTGCCTAAGGCAGAGCTCCTCCACTGTGCACACAGGGAGCTCCCAGGGCAGAGGCTGTACAACAGGCAGCACATCCATGCTCTTGGCACAGATCTGCATGCTCCATGGCAATCCCTAAGGGTCTGGTCTTCCCTTAAATTCTGGCTCAGCTTGCCTGGCTGGCCACGCCAAGAAAGCCTCATCACACCAACTTGGGGCTGCCTTGCCAGCAGTTAAGTGTTGCCAGGGGCATGGAGCCAATCCAGCTGTGAGAGAACAGCAGATCTGCGCCCTTGAGGCTCACATACCACGGACAAGAGGTGAGATGAGGAAAATGCTTCCAGCAGAATCCAGCAGGCGAGTTAAAAGCCTCTCCAGATTTGACCCAGGCACCTCCTGAGGCCACGCTCTGCTCGGCAAACCAGCTATGGGCTGTGCAGGGATTGATTCATGGCTATTTGTGACCTGAGTGTTTCAGCTCCTCTTAGTGATCCCATTTTTTAAAAGAAGCTGATTTTCCATCACCTCTTATGATGCTGTTTTTCATTCACGATGCGCATCCCTCCCTGCTCCCTATGCCTGAGGGCGGGTTGGAGAGGCAGCTCTCCCACTCTGAGCCCCCCAGGACTACGTGGAAAATCCCTCAAACAGGGCCCTCTCCAGGGCAGGGGCCTGCACCTCTCTCTCTTACCCAATGGTGATCATGTCTGCATCGTTCGTCTCGCCCGTGTTGAGATGCAACAGCGACGTCACATCGTTGGGGGGCATGGCTGTGCCCACGTTCCAGGTGACCACTGTGATGCTTAAGAGGAATAAGGGAGAACAAGGTAACGCTCGGGCTCAGAAGGGCTCCCTGTCCTCCAACCCAGTCTCCCAAGGAGCCTGCCTGGGGCAGAACTTGCTGTAGCAGCTCAGCCAAAGGAGGACAGCCCCAAATAACCGCTTCCCCACGCCGAGCTCATCCCCCTGATCCCACACACAGGGACTCCGGCCTCCCCCCGCTGCGTCCTGCCTGCAGCTGGGCAGTGCATCGCGTGACAGCAGTGTCCTTCAGAGCACACAGCCACCACCACCCGTCACAGCACATTAACGCCGCTACGCAGCGGGCGCCAGCAGCCCGCAGGCTGCTCCGGTGGCAACTCACAGGAGCCAATTTCAGCAACGTGCCAGGGAAGGGCCACACCATTTTGAGAGCTGCTGTCACCTCTAATTCCACCTACATCCATCCCCCAAACGCCGCGCCACGTCCCGAGGGTCCCTCAGCCCCCAACCTCTCCCACCCCAAGGCCATCACAGGGGGATGAGTAGGGCAACCCCAACCCGCACAGAGGACTCGGCCGCCGCTCCTTCCCCGCAGGCTCAGACCCCACGTCCTCCCCCCATGGATGCAGAAGGGGTCCCGCTGTCCCCCGACCTCCCCCGTGAGCTCACCGGAACGCTCCGTCCTCCACGGCCGTCCCCGCGCAGCCCAGAAGAGCATCAGAGGATCCGCCGGAGCTCGTAGGGCTGAGGGACGTCCCGCACCTCCCGAACGGGGGCAGCTCCTCGGGCTCCGGCTTGGCGAGAGCCACCGCCTTGCCCAGCCCGATGCGTCCGGCGGAAAGGAACTCGCTGGACACGGCTTTGGGCAGCCCCACAGCGCGGGGGGCCGCCCAGGCCGAGATGTGATCGCTGGACTCGGCTTTGGGCAGCGGCTTGCCGGGGACGTTGCGCTCCGCAGGGCCGAGCTCCGCGCCCAGCACCGAGGCGCGGCCCGACGGGACGCCCGGTCCGAGGGGCAGCAGCGCGGGCACCGGGAGCGGCTCGGGCCGGGCCCTGCCCACGTCCAGCGCCAGGGGCTGCGCGGCCCGGCCCGACACCCGCTCGTCGGGCCGCCCGCAGCCAGGCTGCGCTCCATCGGGCGACGGACGCGGAGAGAACGGCTCGAAGGCGGCGTCGGGTCGGGAGCTCCTCCGCGCGGCGGGCGGCGGGGCCGGGCCCTCGGGGCCGAAAGGGACGAGCAGCGCGGGGGGGGCGACAGCGGGCGAGGGGCTGCGCGGGGAGACGGGCCGCGAGCCCAGGACGGCCGGGCCCTGCTCCGCGCTGCCCCGCCGGCCCCGCTCCATTCCCCCGGCGCGGCCCCGCTCTCCCCGTGCGCCCCCCGCCACCTGCGCGGCGCCCTCCAGGCGCGCGGAGCGCCCCCCCCTCCCGACGTCACGGCGGAGGGGCGGAGCCGGAGCACCTGCACCTGCGCGCGGCCGTGAGCGCGCGGCCGCCGGCCGTGCACGCGCGCGGTGCGTGCCCGCGCAGCGCCGCGCATGCGCAGAACGCGGTGTGTCGCGACGTGGCGGGATGCGGCGGGCGGTGCTGGCCGTGCTGCTGCTGCTGGCGGCGGCGGCGACGGGAGTCGAGCGGCGGCCGCCCCGGGGCTTGGCGAGGGGCAAAGTGGAGGTGGGTGCGGGGCCGGGGGCAGCGCGGGCTGCGACCGGCTGTGGGTGACCGGCTGTGGGTGACCGGCTGTGCTGTGTCTGCACGCAGACGTGCGGCGGGTGACGGCTGAGCCGGCTGCCGGAGGTGAGTGTCAAACGGGGACGGGGGGAGCCGAGCCGGGTCTGCCGCGAACCGCGCCGCTCTGCCCGCAGGTGAAAGCCTTCGTCAACCAGGACATCCCGCTGTAGTATCGCTGTGCGACGGGGTGGGGGAAACGGGTCAGGGATGGGGCAAAATTGGGGTGGGAAGGGGCGAAGGGAGGTGGGATGGGAGTGGAGTGGGAATGGAGTGGGAAAGGGATGGGGTCGGGGTGGGATGGGGCTGGGAATCGTTGGAACGAGGATGGGGTGGTGTGGGGTGGGGGGAGACATGATGGGGGCTGGATGGGACAAGGCGGGGCGGGGTGTAACGGGACGAGGACGGATGTGACGGGATGGGGATGGGATGTGACGGGGGATGGGATGAGCCAGGATGAGGACAAGGGACGGGACGGGATGTGAGCTTGTAGCAGAACGGCACAGGGGTCAGAACAGGGCGTAATTGAGATGGGACGGGAGGAGGATGGGGGGACGGGACTGTCCTGCCTGGCACTGCCACTCCTTAACAAATCACCCAGCCATAACCTGGAGATGAAGCACCTGCCCGGCGCCGACCCTGAGCTCGTGCTGCTTAGCTTCAGATATGAGGAGCTGGAGGTGAGCAGGCTGCACAGCACTGAGCACAGCTGCAGGCTCCAGGGCACCTCGGCTGATGGAGCTACTATGGATCCCTGTCTCTGTGCAGAGAATCCCCCTGAGCGACATGACTCGGGAGGAGATCAACCAGCTGGTGCAGGAGCTGGGCTTCTACCGCAAGGAGACTCCTGAAGCCCCTGTGCCCGAGGAGTTCCAGTTTGCCCCTGCCAAGCCACTGCCCACCCTAATACCCCGCAGAGCTCCTGCAGCTGACAGCAAGACCCTGTCTGAACAGGACAAGAAGGACCACCCAGACCTGTAGTGAGCAGTGCCAGGCAGTGGGAGGCCCTGCAGCCAGTCCTTAGAGCGTGGGGTTGAGGATGTTAGCACAGCTCTTCACACACGGCTGGGGAGCATGCTACGGGGTGGTGAGAGTGTGAGCAGGAAGCAGAGAGATGTTCCCTGCTGCTACCTCTGTTGCTTGGTGCTCTGTAGCCTCTGTCCCAAGGGTGCCCTGAATGATGCCAGCCTTGAGCGGAGGCTCCTGAGCACTGCAGACATCGGAGTGAGCCTGTGTGCCTGTCCCTGCCTTCCCCCTGAGCCATGCAGCCCAGACATTTTGGCATGATTGGTAAGGAGAAGGAGAGATCTTTTTGCTCCTTTGCCGTGCATCAAGGTCCAGTCAACTCCTGGTGCTGGACAGCAGTATCCTACCTGCACAGGACAGGATGAAACTCTCAGCAGAAAGCTCCATGTGCTGAGGGCAGATGTATTGAGTCCTGGAGGTGGGACAGCTGCCTCCCAGGAGGGTATGGCTTTACATCACCAGCAAGGCTGCCTCTATCAAGCACACAGTAAAGCCCTTGCCTACCATCAGCTGCACCTTGTCATTTTTCTGGGGCAGTCTCAGTTGGGTGCACATCCATGCCTGCAGGACAGAGGCAGGAGGGGGTTGCAGGGTTGCTATGTAGTTCCTGTGCTGTCCTCATGGCCACGTAAATCAGGCGCCAAAGCTTTGGGCACGCTTTGGGAGCAAGGGGTGAGGGTGCTAGCCCAGCTCTGGGCCCTCTGGTCCAGAGCTGAGGGGTCTTGGTGCAGCTGAGGCTGCAAATCCTCCCAGGGAGAGGGGAAGTGGCCCTGCATGCAGTGGAGTGGTTGCTGGAAGGGGTTGGGGAGGACCCGAGGCAGAAGAATCACCCTATAGAATAAATTTTTATTGTCTGGCTGGTGTTGGTACACGTGTCAACGCAGGTGTAGACTGTGATGAAGGGGCAAGTGGCACTGAGCACGAGGTGCCCAGAGCTGGGGAGGAGCGCGGGGGCTGTCTGGTCCTGGCCCTGGCCCCACGCTCCCTGGGGCCCTCCCCGCTCCCCTCCAGCTCCCCAGCACGGCGGTGCTGCAGGTCCCCGCCGTGGAAGCGCCCTGGGCACGTGTGTGCGGTGGGAAGCAGGGTGTTGGCACAGGGCCGTCCCCAGGGAGGTGGCACCAAGCAGGGACTGTGGTGGGCAGAGAGGCTTCCTTGCAGGTGGCCCAGAACTGTTCTCAGGCCGCCTGGGGAGCAGGGCGCTCTGCCTCCCGGCTGCACCAAAACCAGCAGCGCCCACCTGGGCCCTGGCTTGCAGGGTCCATGGGCTGAGCCACACAGACACAGACCTGCGCTGGCTCAGGGCCCGAGGGTACTGTGCTGCCCCAGCCTCCCGGGGGAAGCAGGGACCCTGCCCACATAAAAAGAACTCCTTGAGAATGAATAACTTAACACACTAGAGTATGGCAGAGGGGAGGAGAGCCAAGCTGGCTGCAGGGAGAGTGGCATCCTAGGCACCACCCGCCTGGCACCGTTCTGCCCTGCCCGTACGTTCAGCTGGCAGCCAGCCGGGGCAGAAGCTGACCGAGGAGCTCCAGCAAGGCTGAAGCAACGGGTGACCCAGGAGCCCCAAACTTTGTCCAGCGCCAGCCCCACAGCCTCTCCACCCCCGCTGCCAGCCTCTCCATGGGGCGGCAGCTCCTCCGCACACCAGCGTCCCTGCAGGGAGGGGGCAGTGAGGTGTCGGGCAGCCGCAGGCCGGGGCAGGCTCTAGCACTCTTTCTGCCGCATGCGCATCTCGTGGCGACGCAGGTGGTTGTAGAGGGACTGCACGTAGGTGAAGACGCACTTGGCGTCCGGCTTCTTCCCCATGATCATCATGTCTTCCACCTCCACCAGGGGCACGCAGTCCGCCAGCATCCTGCAAAGACATGGGGCCTCAGCACACCTGCAGGAGGCCACGATGGGGCCGCCAGCGCCAGGCTGCCCCCGGCCTCACTGTGCCCTCAGTGTCTCCAGCCCAGTGTGGCCTGCGAGGCCAGGCAGCCTGCCGGCACTGCTCACCCCACTGCCTCCACAGTCCCCTGCCACCCATGCCCTGCCCCGCTATTGGGACTCGTAGCCCTCCTAGACCTGCTCCCCCCACCATGAGTGCAGGCTGAGGTCACTGCACTGCGGTGGAGCCACCAGAGCAGCCTCACCCCACGCTGCCCTGCACTCCCCAACCCCTGGCCATGCTTCCCAGCCTCCCACCCAGCTGCTGGATCACAGCCCGGGGAGGCTGCATTGGGCCTGACTGTGGGCACGACTCTGCCAGAGCCACACAATTTCCAGGGGCTCAGCAATGGCCTATGGCTACCTCATCCAGGAGTCACTACGCTGCTCTGATGCCCGGGCTGGGCACTGAGTCCTGTGCCAGACCCTTCCCCAGCTGCTCTCCACCTTAGGGCCCTCTCCATCATTAAAGCTGGCCTTGGGATGACACTGCTGCTCACTCTGACCCTTGGCTATAAGCACCACCCCTGCCCCACTGCTGCCAGCCTGCACCCCAAGACGTGGCTCCATCAGGCCCCAGGTGGCTCCTTGGTCTTTGGGGCCGCTGGCACAGCAGGGGCTGTTGCTGCTGCAGCCAGGCAGGGTACAGATGGAAGGGAAGGGGCAGCTCCCTCCCTCACACGGCTCTTCAGGTCTTGGGGCTGGCAGGGTTGTCTGGGAGCAGCCCAGTGCTGCTGTCACCTATGAGAGGACAGTGCCCAGAGTTGGAGCAGCCATTGCCAGTGTTGGCTGACAGAGCACAGGCTGTGCTGGCACCAGCACCAAGATCAGGGCTGGGGCTGAGCAGCCTGAAGCTGAGCCTGGGCTTGAGGCTCATGCAGGGGCTGGGGATGGAGCCATCCCTGTTAGGGTCCTGCAGAACCCATAAAGCCTGGCTCCAGGTTTCACTGACACGCAGGCTGAGCCAGGCAGGGGCTCACTGGGACAACTGTGACCATACTGGGAGCATCAGACACCTGCCACAAAATGCCCCATCCCTAGCCCTCTCCCCTCATGCCAAGCTGCAGACCCTGGTAGCCCCATCATGTGCTCTGGTGCCCCTGCACAGCCCTTGTAGCAAGGAGCTCCGGGCTGGCACTTGGCACAGACACACAGTTGGTGCCAGTCCTTGGGCAGGAAGGCATGGGTGCAAGGAGCACCCAGATCAAAGAAAGCTGCCTGGCCCCAGGGCTCCTCACAAGTGCTGCAGCCATGCTGGAAGGCTGTAGCCAGCCTGGGAGCTCTGCCTGGGGCCTTGCGCTTTACGCCCCGCTCTCCTGGTTAATGCTGCAGGGCTGGAACTCAGACAGCCATAGAAGCAATGGGCTCTGAGCCTAGGGCCTGGCTGCAGAAGCCTCACTGTATGATGCAGCAGCCCAGGAGGGCATGCTCAGGGCCTTGGGAAAGCACCCGCCTGAGCACAGCAGGTCCCCCACTACCACCAGCCAGGGGGACGGAAAAGCTAAGGCAGCAGAGGGAGACAGGCTCTGCCCTTATAAAGGCATTGTTTGGGCCTCGGTGTGCTAGTGCAGTGCAGAGCCGGGGGAAAGGAGGCTCCAGTGCCAGCTAGGATGCCCCTGAAAGACAGGCACAAACAGTGCAAGAAGAGGCAGGACTGCAGCCTTGAGTCACACTTTCCAGGCTCCCCTCTCCTGCCCATATATGAGCAGGCAGCACCTCGATGGGAGGGGAGCACCCTGAGCCACGCCTGATCCTGCAGCGCAGCACCGGCCCCTCGGCCCTCCACTGCAGCCAGCAGCCTCTGCGTGCCTGGGACAGGCAGCCTCCAGTACAGAAAAAGGAGGCAGCGAGTGCGGGCAGTGAGGCTGGAGCACTCTGGTGACCAAAGCGGTGTTCCTTGGAATCCAGCTGCTCAGCCCCCTGGGCTGGGATGGGTGAACGGGAGGAAGGCAGGGAAAAGCCACGGCAGCCCCATTCCTGCTGGCATCAGGCTGGAGAGCCGTGGGCCCTGGGTCCCCTCCATGACCACCTCCTCAGCCCTCACCCCACGAGCGCTGTTCTGAAAGGAGAGAGGCAGCCAGTCGCCTCCACCCTGCTCCCAGAACGGGACTCGGCCCTCTCCCACCAGTATGCCCCGTTCTCTGCCCCAGCCGCAGCGGCCGCTCCCCGGCCCTCCTGCCAAGCGGTGGGACGCAGGCGGGTGGGTGTGCGGCAGTAGATCGACAGGAAGATTCTCACCATCGCTCCCGGGGGTGAAAATGGGCTACGACTTTTTGGTTTTTACCAGCCCCTTCTGGACCAGGCAGCGATAGAATTCCTGAATGTATGTGTACACACACTTCCAATCTGGCTCGCGCATCCGGACCATGTCCTCCACGTCCAGCAACTGCGGACAGTCTGCGTGCTTCCTGAGGGCAGGGAGAGAGAGGGGCAAGCCAGTGACCGCAGCCCAGTCGGGGAGGGGAGAAAGAGAGAAAACAAGAGACACGGATCAATGCAGTTCCCATTCCCCGGGCAGATGCTGCTCTGCTCTCACATGCTCTGGGGGTGCGCGATGCAGGGCAGGACGGCTCCAGGCGCCGCCGCGCTCCAAGGCCATTCAGTGTGACTTGGGGGGGCCAGGGCTCACAAGCAGGGGATGGGAGGGTAGGTGAGCAGTGTGGACAGGCGTGAGGTCAAGAGGGAATGACAGAACGAGACAGAAGAGGGAGTGATGTGTTCTGGCGCGCCCGGTGCTCGGGGAGCGAGTTCCAGAGCGGAGCGGCGCTCTATATAGCTTGTATATAGAGCAGCCAGGAGGGCTGGGCAAGCCCAGCATCCTGCCCAGCTCCGCTTGGAACCGCATGGCACAGCCCTGGTGCAGGAAGCTCAGGAGAAGACGCTCACAAGAGCTGGAGGAGGAGGAAGGACAAGAGGCCACCTGGCTTCCAGGCCGGAGAGATCGATGGCTCTCTCAGTCCACGCACCGGTCCCAATTAAAGCAAAAAGTCTATTAATAGGAGTGCCAAGACCCAGGCACACGGCCCCCTATTCCCGATTGCTCCACTGAACAGCACTGCGGGAGCTGCCGGGAGCTCCCAGCCAGTGCCACCACACTGAGCACCAGCCGGCTGCCACCTGACAGGCAGGTGGGGATGGGGCCCCTCCGAAACCCACCTGGCCCTGCCCAAGGCGAGGCCAGCAGGGTGCTGGAGGAGAGTAGGAGTGGATGGGAGGAGAGACAGAAGGAAGGAGAGAGGGCCTGGCTTCCAGCCCTCCAGCTGGATGCGCTCCCATCTCTCAGCACCCAGGAAAACCAGAAGCAAAAGGGGAGGGAAGAGACTTGAGAAGCTGCAACGGTGTTTGAGCCCCTACAACCGTGAAGGAGGCACCTGCACGTACAAACCCCACTCCCAGCTGCCCAGGTACTGCACTGTGCATGGCTGGTGCCCTGCCCCACAGAGCCTGCTCTGCCTTTGGCTTTTATGTTCCATGCCCAGGAGACCCAGTCCCATCCCCACCACCTCAGAACAGACTGGGCTGTACTGGCCCACTGCGGCTCTGTACAGCCAAGTCAGCTTTTCCCCAACCTCACTGTGTGACAGAAAGGAGCGATGCGAACGGGCACCGAGCCTCTAGCATGGCCAGCTCCTCCAGAGCCCTGCCTGTGTCCCTGTGCCCAGGCAGCAGGAGAAAGAGCTGTCCTGAGCGTGGGACGTGCCCACAGCCCTTGTGGTAGCACTGGAGTTACGTACTCTGCAGAGGAGAATGCCACCTCGAAGTTGTGACGGCGGTTCTGGGGTGTGAGCTGGCTGTAGTCAAAAGCATCTGGAAAGAAGTTGTGGACCAAAGCACAGAACGCCATGCCATCGCTCCAGCTGGACGAGAAGTTCTGGATGTCCACGTGCTGCAGGAAAGGAGAGTTACTAAGGTGCACAGTGACTGGCCCAGCCTTGCCCAACATTGGGAGAGGAGGCAGCACCGACCTCGTAGCCCCGGGTCTTAGCCCTGCACCAGTCCAGCAACATCTGCTTGATGCTGTTGGCGTTGGGGACACCACAGCTGGAGGAGCGCTGCACAGCTGCACGCGGTGCCGCAGGGTTTGGAGAGCTGAGGGGGAAAACACAGAGGGTAACGCATGTGATGCTTGCTGCCCCAACTGCCCCTTGCCTGGCATGTCCTCACCTCCCGCCCTCCTTCTGCAGCTTCTCAATCATGGCCTTGCGAGCCTGTGAGGTTGATGTTTTGGGCAGGCTTTGAGCTTTCATCAGCTCCTTCTTTTTCTCAGCCTGGCGCCGTTCCAGCGCAGCCAGGCTGCTCTGCCTTGAGGCACTCTCATCCTCCCGGTCAAAGATGCTGCAAGAGACACAGGCAAAGCCTCAGTGCAGAAAAGGAACGTTGTCATTCTCAGCTCCTCATCATCCCTGCAGCTCAAAGAACTCCACGCTCCTAGGACAGAACCAGCACAGCTCAAGATTCCTGGCTGCTGGCATCACCACTCACCTGCCTGTCTTCTTGGAAGATGAGCTGTAGGATGATTTGGTTTGAACAAACGTGCTGCTGCTGCCATCTGCAGAGTAGAAGAAATAGACCTCAGGCAGGAGTCACGGAGCAGCAGAGGAGCTGGGCAGGCTGGGGGATTTGGGGCAGGCTGGGGAAGCTCTGCTATGTGCTCTGCAGCACTAGGGATTGCCATTGATAAAAGGCAGCTAAAGCTCTTACTGTCTGATCTCTTCACATAACTCGACTCCATGGTTGTTGTGCGGGAAGTCTTGCTGCCATCATCTGCAGAGGAGAAAGTAAAGGGGGTCAGCTGGGTTAGAGACCAAGCGCTGTGAACTACCCTCGGGTCTACACAGCATGGCAGGGAGACATCCAGCATAAGCATGGGGGTGAGACAGAAGCTGTGTGCCCCGAGGCAGCAACCAGGTGGAACGGAGAGGTCAGAGTGATGGAACAGTGAGGCAGGAAGGCTGGAGCAGCCACAGACAGCTACTGTCAGCTTGAGTCAGGTGGCAGAAGTGTGGGTGACAGGAGAGGGCCCACAAGCCCTGTGCCATCCCAATGGGGAACACGGGTCAGGTGGGAAGGCACTAGAGCAGATCCCCTCAGGGCTCAGGCCCCAGGAAGGCTAAAGCAGGAGGCTGACCAAGGAAAGACAGTGAAACCCGGCCCTAAAACAGGGTCTTGCTCTCTGCAGGGTGCAGCTGACCCTGTGTACTATGCTGTCACCTCCCTGCACAGGGAGAGCAACAGAAGATGCCCAGCTCTCTGCTGTCCGTTGCCCTGGGCTCTGCAAAGCCTGGTGCATGCCACAGGCTGGGCTAATGCTGGAAATGCCAGTGGTCTCAACCAGGGCAATCACAGAGAACAGCAGACAGAGAACTCGTGGTGATCCTCGGCAGCAAGTGTGCTTGCAGAGCCCTGCTCTTACTGGACTGGATGAGGCGCTCAGTTTTGGTGACAGTGCTGCGGGCTGAGCCATCGGCTGACTGGGTGCTCTGCGTGGTGGTGGTCTCAGTGTTGTGGCCAGCCCTGCTCACTGTAGCCTGGCTCTTCATCTCCTGCAGCCGCTGGTCCCGTTCCTTCTCCCGCTGGTCTGCAAATGCACACAGGAGATGGTGTCAGCAGCGAGATCCGTGACCCCACATGGGGAATCAGCACTGCCCCCTCCCAGCAGCTGCCAACTACCTCGCTTGCGCTGGCGCAGCTCCCGCATGGCATTACGGATCAGCCGTCGCTCCTCAAAGTCCGTGGTCTGATCCAGCTGTAGGAGGAAGGGGAGGTCAGCACGGCCCCTCTGCTCTTTTCTCCCACCCAGTTCCAAGCCCCTTTATCTCCAGCCTGGATCTTGCTCTCAGAAGCCCGCACCATCACAGTGAAGGACGTACCATCTTATCCAGAACACTCTCATCCTCGATCTTGTTAAGCTCCTCGACATTCAGCTTGCTCTTTTTCTCCACTTCCCTCACTTGGACCTTCTCCATGCCATTGGGCAGCTCCGGCTGCAGCCTCGGTGCCTGGGGCTGCTCCACCACCAGCTCCGGTTCCATCGGCTGCAAGGAGAGCACCGCATGCCTGAGCCTCACCAGCCCGACTGCCCCCTAATGAACCCGATGCTCACCCAGTGCCACAGGCAGCAGGGACTGTGGGAATGCACTGTGTGGTGTAGGAGCTCACGGCTGGTGGTTCGCCGTGGATGTCAGCAGTGACCAACGCAGGCAGAATGCCACATCCCCAACACTCAGCACACCACAGCCCACCCTGCCCCAGGAGGCCCCAGGTGCTCTTGTACCTGCTGCCAAAATGTCTCCAAATTGCAGCCTGCAGACACCCACCACCCACTGCCACTACTAGGGCCTCCGGTGAGGCAGGGGGGGCACCATGCCTGGTGCCCTAAAGCCGGCGAGGTGCTGGCAAAGCCAGTGCGCACCATTAGCAGCACAAGGGATTTCCAGGGAATTAAAGGACTTAGCAGAAAGAAGAGCTTGCACAGGAGATCAAGAGCCTCCTCGTCATCTCCGCTCAGGAACTAGGCCAGCTCAGCCCCCGCGGGAGCACGGCCAGGACACCAAGTCCCTTTCAGCACGACCCCCAAGCAATGCGCCGTGGGCAGCTCTCCAGGCCCAGAATAGGGCCTGGAGGCAGCGGGTGGGAGGTGTCGGGCCAAGGCAGCCCCGCTGCACACCTGGCCCCATCTCACACCGCTGCCAGGCGTGAGGGCACGCATTACTGGCACCGGCCGGCTCCCTGGTGGCTCAGCCCAGGGCCAGCAATGCAGCAAAGCTCTGGGCAGAAGGAGCAGCACAGAGCCCAGGGCCACCGCAGGGCGAGGTGACGACCGCGAGGCGAGCCCACACAAGGGCCGGGACAGCTGCCCCGCAGCCGGCACGCCAGCAATGCGAAGCAGGCAGGCGCCACTGGCTCGCAGCCCTGCCCGGCACCGGCCTCCCACAGCAGCAGGCTGTGATTGCAGCTGATCCAGCCACACCGCACGCCCATCCCACCCCCAGCCGAGGGTTTCTCCTCGGCCCCCGGCACCGTGCCCCCCCTGCGGGTGCTGCCCAGGACGGAGCAGCCCAGCCGGGCTCGGCTTGGCCCGCACTCACAAAACTGTCGCTCCGGGAGAGGTGCAGGGTCGACTGTTGGCGCGTGCTGGAGAAAGTGGGCGGATGGGCCACCGGGCTGCCGGACTCCTCGGTGCCCTCAAAATGAGCGCAAGGATCCTGTGCTTCCAGAAACAGGGTGCTGAGGTCCTTCTCCGCAGGCTCCGGCGGTCCCAGCCATAAGGCCAGCAGGTCCAGCCGGCGGCCCAGGCGCGCCTGCTCGGCCCGCAGCACCAGGTGCTCTTCCTCCAGATCCCGCAGGGCGCGGGCCAGGGGCTGCACCTGCCGCACGGCCTGCTCCAGCTGCCCCTCCACTGCCCGCCTGAAGGCTTGCAGCTCCCGCCGCAGCTCCTCCAGCTCGGCCGCCCCGGCCTGAGCCAGGTCCTCCAGGCTGTTCCCCGGCATGCTGCCGGCGGGTTCCAGGGCTGCGGGTGCCGCAGCGGGCCCCTCTCAGCTGTCCCCTGCCCTTTATAGGGGCTGCAGGGGCACCACCCCCGGCCGGAGGCCGGCCCGGCTATTCTTGTCACGGTGCGGCCGGGGGTCCCGTGCAGGGGCGCCGAGGCAGGCACTGACACTTGGAAGTGTTTCCAGGCCCCATGGGACCAGGTGGCCCAGCAAAGGGGGGCTGCTGCAGGGAATGGGCTCCTGCCTCTGTCTCCGCAGCCTGGCAGCTGCTGCCACTGTGGCCATGCAGCAGCGGGGCTCTGCGAGGCAAGCAGGCAGTAGCAGAGACCCTGCAGGATCCACCCCAGCAGCACTGCTCTGCTGCGTGCAGACAGCCCCTCCTGCACAACTTCCCGCAGCCATCCTGCCCCCGTGGCACCCACCCAGCTCAAAGCACCGCTGCAGGGCAGTGCTACTGGCTGTGACCACGGGTCTCACTTTCCCTTGCTGCACGGAGCCCCATGAGCTCCACATCTGCCAGCACGGAAGGCGCACACAGCACTCCCAGCAAAAGGCAGCAGCTCCCGGCCCCACACACACCATGGGTCAGACCAACCCCTACCTGGCAGGGCTGAGGGCACCACAGCCCCTTCCTCCTCCTCTTCCTCCTCCTCCCTGCCCGCTCGCAGCACACCTGGAGGTCGTGTCCAGCCCTGGTCCCCAAGCACCCACCCAGTGCCACAACACTGCTAATACCTTAATGAGAGCTGACGGGCCGCAGGGCCAAGCCTGTATGAGCGCATTAGTGCAGGGCTGTCACCCTCCGTGGGCAGAGAGCTGCACCTTTGGCATGGGCAGCACCTGCTGCAGCCCCTCCAGGCTGCATGCTGGTTGAGGTGAGCACCGAGCTGGGCCCACAGCAAGTGAGAAGCACCCTGACCACCACCTTGGCCATGCCCGGAGAAGCAGGCAGGCACTTGGCCCCGTGAGCAAGGCAGCACAGTTCTGGACATCCCAGCTCCTGCCAACACAACTGCACACGCGCACACTTTGCATTGCCCTAGATGGCCAACAGCAGATAAAAGCTCTTGAAGAGCTGTAAGCACTGTGCTGCCTTCTAGGCACCTCCAGCCCTGCAACCGCAGCACCCAGGGCTGTGTCCTCATCTCCACCCAGATCGGAGCCAGGGGTGGGTGTAACTTTCTTTTTTTTTTTTTCCAGTTGTCCCCAAGAATCCCCCTGCACCAGGCAGTCACAGCTGGAGAGCACAGAAGGAGGAAGAGGCAGGATCCAGGACAGACTGCAGGGCAGAGCCCCTGAAGCAGGGCCCTAGAGATGCTCCCAAGCCCCATGGCCAAGCTTCATTCCCAGAACGGAAAACACAGGGCTGGATAGCAGTGGGTTTCCCTGAGCTGCCACAACCCTACGAGGTATCTGAGAGCAAAGGGGGAGACCCACAAAACTTGCCCCTTACCCACCCCCTTCTCTAAACATCTCTACACACTGTGGCACAGGGGGGGCTCATCTGGACAAAGATGTGGGTTTACACACAGGCCCTGGGGGCTCCCCTATCCACACAACAGAGCCCCCCAACCGAGCTGCCGGCACCGAGCACCTGCCTCGATGCACGGGGCTGCTCCCACCCCACACCCAGGGCCCTGAGCACACTCACTTTGACGACATTGCTGCTGGTGGTGATGCTGCAGATGCCGCCAGTGCTGCTGGGGATGGCGGTGATGCGGATGGGAGTGCTCCTCAGCCCCAGGGTGAGCTCTGCAAAGGAAGCCGCGGGCACTCGGGGAGTGCTCCAGCCCGACAGGCTCAGCCCTGTGCCCGCAGATGGGGAGAGGCACCGGCTCCGGCGCATCCTGCTCCTGCAGCAGAGCTCTGAGCTCTGGTGCGCAGAAGAGGGCTGCGGGGACGTCTAAAGCATGTGGGAGCTGCTGCGTCAAGGGGGAGCCAGGCCCCCCCAGCATGCCTTCACCCCTAAGATGGACACTTCCCGCAGCTCTCCAGGGGGAGCCAAGACCTCCCGGTGTGAGGGACAGCCCCAGGGAGCGCACAGAGGCATCCTGTCCTGATACGGGCAGGCAGGGCTGCATGGCACACAGGGGCAGCAGCGGGGATGGCACTTTGCACGATGCCCATGCCAGCACAGAGGCGGGTCTGTAGGGATAGGGCAAGAGCACGGGGCTGTGCTGGGCTCTGGGGCTGGGCTGCAGAGCCAAGAGGGGACAAGGCTGTGGGATTGGAGGAAGGACTGTAGGGTAGGAGGGAGCACCTGGATAGGGGCAAGCTTTGGAGCCAAAGAGCGAGGGCTGCCACGCTCCCGCCCCTTTGCAGAGCCCACGCTGGGCCCCCAGCATCCCACATCCCACCACTGCTCCCCCACCTGCCTGTCCTGCAGCACCCACCATACATCCAGCCGTCCAACGTCCAGCCAGGCGCCAACCCTCCCTGCCGTCCCCTGGGTGCCCACCGTCCCCACTGTCCCCGTGCCGCCCGCCCGGTGCCCACCTGCCCGCTGGCTGCCGGGGGCGGCCACGATGCGGGGCGTGACGGACTGCGTGTGGGGCTGCACGCGCCCATCCTTGATCTCGATGGTGAAGTACGTCTTCATGCCGTCGTGGGCGGCGGTGGGGCCGGTACCGGCGGGGCGGGGGCCGGCGGGCGGCGGGCGCTGCTCTGCTCCTCCGCTACCGGCTCCCCTCGCGTTTTGATCGGGGCCCGGCGGGGCCGTGCGAGGCCCCCGCTGCCATTGGCCGGGTCCGGCCCGCCCCGCAGCGCCGCCCGCCCCCTCGGGGCCGCCCGCCGCCGCCCGCTGCCGCCCCGCGGTGCCCACCGAGGTCGCGCCCGAAGGGGTGAAGCGCTGCGCGCGTTCCCGCACCGAGGAGGAGCGCTGCACGGGGCTCGGCTCTGCGGGGGACGGAGCAGCCGGGTCAGATGGGTGCCACGCCGACTGCACGCCGTGCATGCAGCCCGGGCGCCCCGCGATGCGCGCTGCCCCCCAGCCTCCCCGCAGTGCATGCTATCCCTGCAGTGCATGCTGTCCCCACAATGCACGCCGTCCCCACGCATGCCGCCCACAGGGATGCTGCCCCCCGGGTGCCCGGCAGCTCTCTGAGCTTCTGCCTGTCCACACACACACGGATGGGAGCCCCAAATGGAGCACAGCAGTCACCATGTGCCCTCACCTGCGTGGCCCTGTGGGCACGGCGAGGACGGCGTTTGCTCCCAGCGCTGAGCGTTGAGGCGAGATGGGGTCCGTGCCGTGCTCTGGGTGGGTGCTATCAGCCGGGAAGGGACAGGCCATGTCCGTGTGCAAGGAATGAGATGGAGGGAGCAGAGAGTGAGCACTGAACGAAGCAGGGAGGTCAGCTCTCCCCCATGTCACCCATGTCCCTGGAGCTCAGTGCACCCCACAGAGCACAGGAGGGTGATGGAGGAACACGGGCTGTGTGATTATCCCAGCTCCCATGGGACCCCAGCAGAGCAGGGCCAGGCTCTATGGCATGCAGGAGGGAGCCGAGCCGCTCCGCTGCCCCTGCTCTGCCCCAGGGCAGCAGGGCTCAGCCCTTCCCCAGCCACCAGGCCTGAGCTTGTGCCACACTGAAGGCTCCCTGCAGAGCCATGACCTGAGGGTGCCCACAGCTGCAAGCTCCCATTTGGCCTTATTTCCTCCTGGCACAGAAGAAGGGAGACGCTTTCCCAACAGCAGCATAAGGGCATCAATTGCCCAACACAATCTCTCTGGGCTGCCAAGAGCACCCGGCCAGGCACGGAGGGCCCAGAGCAGCGCACAGCCCCCGGCCAGGCCAGCAAGCACAGCCCCGGGGGGGCCAGGGCTGGACCGGTGCTCAGCTCCATCCTTATTGGGACAAAGAATGCAAAAGGCCGAGGTTTGCTGCATGCACAGATTCCCTTTCATGGCCCTGCAGCAGCCCGGCCGGTAGCTGGGGGACTTGTAAACACTGTGCCTGCCACCCCACTGCCTGGCCCAGGCCTGAGCAGGCCATGAGCCCAATCAGGCGCTGCATCCCCATTCCCAGAGGTCCGTCCTGCCCCACACGCGGCAGTGCATCCCCTGGGCTCACAAGGGATGCCCTGGGGGTGCCTGGGGCAGCCCTTACCCGCTGGCTTCTCCTGTGGCATCGCAGCCTTCCCAGACACCTGGCCTCGCACGCAGATGACAAACTGCAGGGGGGAAAGGGGCAGCACGGTGAGCTGGGGAGCTGGCAAAATGTGACCTACGCAGCTCAGAGGGGCAAGCACCGTGACAGGCCATGTGCCATGTGAGGCACAGCACCTCCAGCCCCACGCTGAGAATTTGGGGCTGTGGTCTGGGTGGCTCCAGCACCCATCAATGCAGTGTTCCCATACCTGGCCACTCTGAGTGACAGCGCAGGGCTGTGTTGGGCCGTCCTGCTCCGCCTGGCGGCTCTGCCCTGTGCTGCATGGGGCCTCTGCTGGCTCCACGTTGGGCTCCTGCACAGGACAGGGGCTGCCAGATCCCTCCTCCTGGTACTGCAGCTCACACTCAGATGCCCGCTTGGTGTGCAGCTCCAGCTCTGCTGTTTGCTCTCCGGGCTGTGGGGCTGCAGTGGGCTCCAGGGCTGGGTGCAGGTCCAGGAGCACCAGGGTCCCTGAGGCTGTGGCTGCAGAACAGATCAGAGGCTCTGTACAGCATCTCCACTCCTGTGGCCCCAGCCCAGCACCTGGCTTCAAGCTCAGGCTTTTCAGGAGACCCACTGCAGCCCCTCCATCTTCATGTTCTCTCTCAAACTTCACTTTCTCCTGCCCTCCCAAGCTCTGCTCTTCCCCTGGAATGTGTTGCAGACATGGACCTACCCTGGGCAGGGGGTTTCTTGGGTTCTCTCAGTTGCTGGCTATTCAGGTCCTGCAGTTCAGCTTGCCTGCACTCCTGCTCCTCCTCCTGCTCATGGGCCTGGAAGAAAGCAGGGGTGAGAGCCCAGACAGCCCCACTGCTGCCTCCACCCCACTGCATCCAGGCACATTCTCATGCAAGGTGGGTCAGAATGCCACTTCCAGCAGTGCTGTCCCATCCTGCACCTGGCCAGGGACATGCCGCAGATTGCAGCCTCCCCCTGTGCCATCCCCATGCTGCAGGGCAAGGAGTGAGACTTCATCAAACACAGCAGTTCACACCCTGCACCAGGGTTACTGCAGAAGGCTGCTAGGAGATAAGTATCCTGGCCATGGTGCTACAAAGGGGCAAGTGGAATCACCAGCCCAGGGCAACATGGGCTGAGATCCCGGTGTAACTACAGGATAGGGGGAGGCAGAGAGGGGAATACAGCCAAGGGATGCATGGGGGAAACCAGTGCCAAAATGGTCTCTGCTTAAGGAAATGCTTTAGCTTTTGGATAAATTGTCCAGGTGAGGTGAGATGGGCTGTCTAATCAGAAAACACAGACAGCTGTATGCTCGGGGTGCCGCAGTGCCAGCAGATGCTGACCAGGAAGGAAGTGGCACAGGGTCACCTTCCCTTCCCCTGCCACCAGCCTTATACAGGCCCTGAGGGAGGCAGATGGAAAAGCTGGGCTGAACAGAGGCAGCCTGGGGGTCAAACCACTGCTTGTCCCTTCCCCACCTTCTCTCCCATGTGGAAGCCCTGTGCTGTGTCCTTGGGAGGACACTCAACCACCACAAATCAGCCATGTCCTGCAAGGCCATCACTGCTAGGCAGGGAGCTTGGGCTTGCACCCACCACTCTCAGCCCTGCCCCTGCTCCACCAGCTCATCCATCGTTACCGGGCACCAGCTTAGTCCTGGAGCAGGACCAATCCCTTCAAAGGCTAGCAGGGAGCCCTCACGCAGCCCATGTCAGTGTCCTGAGCACAGCCACATCCCCACGTCCCGACAGACCTCTGCTCCACCACCAGTGTCACCCACCACAGTCCCCTAAGGCAGGTAAGTCACACACGCACAGGGATTTGTGCCCCCAGGAGGCTGGCACAAGCAAAGGACTCAGCAATTCCCAGTGGCACCCCAGAGCACTCACCACAGAGCGTTCAGGCTCCTCAGCAGTCAGTCTGTCTGCATCCCCCCTGTGGCTGCTCTCCTCCGTCCTGGTCAGCACCGGCTGTTCAGCATCGCCCCTTCGGCTGCTCTCCACGGGCTCAGTGCTGCTCTCCACACTCACCACGGCCGGCAGCTCAGAGCCTGCCCTCTGGGAGCTCTCCCCGTTCCTGACCAGAGCTGCCGTTTCAGCATCATCTCTCCTGCTGCGTTCTGCACGTGCGGGCACGGCTGCGGGCTCAGCGCCATCCCTGCGGCTGCTCTGCACGTTCCCAGCCAGGGCTGCAGCTGGGTGGAAGCAATAAGGTAAAGTTCAGGAAGGAGCTGGGCGCATCCCAGCATCTGCAGGGCAGCCCAGACACAGAGACCTCACCTTCAATCTCCTCAGCCCGCAGCTTGCGGATGGCGGCGCGGATCAGCTTGCGCTCCTCGTACTCACTGGCTGCCCGCAGCTGTGGAGGGCAGAGCCAGCAGTGAGGCACAGCGAGGGCTCGGTGGCACTCAGCTCCCTCGTGCCACCCCGCCGTCAGGCACTCACCAGCTTTGTCAGCTCCTCCACATCGGTGATGGACTCAAGTTCCCGGGACAGCGAAGCGAGGGCCTTCTGCTGCTCCTCCTCCAGCTGCTGGGACCTGCGCCGAAGCCAGGGGTGAGAGCCGCACGGGAGCCGAGTCCCACACGGCCAACGGTGCCGGGGTCCTGCCGTGCCACAGGTACTCACCGCAGCCAGTTCTCCTTGTTGTCCTGCCGGTGGCTGCCACGCTCGGTGCGGAAGCGTTTGGAGGCCAGCGCCTCCTCGTCCCGCTCCAGCTCCTGCCGCTGCAGCTCCCGGATGGCTGAGCGGATGCGGCGCCGCTCGGCGAGGTCCAGCGTCGCCTCCAGCTGGGAGGACACAGGGCAGGGCTGGGCGCTGGGCACAATGGGGCCGTCTGTCCCGTGCTGCCCACGCGCCTGGCACACACTGCCTGGCACTGTCTGCCCCCGCTCCGGGGGACGAGGGGTGGCCCAACCCCGGCGTGGGATGGGACGTGAGGTCGGCCAGAGCTGGACATCGCCTCGGGGAGCGGGCACAGCACCCGGCACTGCAGCAGCCCACGGGGGGCTTCCCCTCCTCCAGAGCAGAGCTGCAGCGTGAGCTGTGCCAGCAGCCTGTGCTCAGAGCAGCCCCTGCACAAAGCAGGTACAGCTCTGCTGCGAGACACCAGGCCCTGCCCAAGCACTGGCTCGCGGTGAGGGAACCGGGAAAACGATTTCCCATGGAGCTTGTTAAAAATAAACCCAGTGACCTGCAGCAGCTGCTGTCAGCATCAGGGCCTGGCATGCTGGGAGCAGCAGCGGCCGCACCGAAGGGCGAAGGCAGCAGTCCTCTTCCTCATGTTCCCACAGGACACTGCCAGGCCAAACAACTGGTCACTGAGCTCCAGGTCACAGCGGGGCCAGAAGCACAGCTCTTGTCCCAGGCATGCAACAAGCTGGGGGAGGCTGCAGCCCACTGCAGACCCGTGGCACACACTGCATCTGCTGACACAGCCCATCCCTGCAAAGCCACCGATACCCATCTGGGAGCAGCAATTTTCACACTGCCACCCCCAGGGACACCTTCCCATGTGGGTCAGCTCCTACTGGGCAGCACAGTGTTGGAAATGAGGATCACTGTCATCAGGGGTTGCGGCTTAACGCAAACATGCTCCCTCCCACGTCCCTCCCAGCACCCCCTGTCGTGCAGTGATATCAGCATCCCATATCAGCATCCTGCAGCAGTGCGAGCATCCGCCTCCTGGGGACAGAGCCGGGGGCTGCAGCCCTGTGCCACGTGCTGCAGGGTGTGAGCTCTCATCCGGTGTCACAGCCTTTGCAACAGAACAGCCCTTTCCCTGCTGGCTCAGCACACAGCAGGGTCCTGGAGCACAGCACTGGTGAGCTCAGCACCACTGAACCATAAGGCCAGGCATGTGAACAGCCCCAGCCCACCCTCACAGCCCTGCATGGCATCCCTGGGGTGGGAGAAGCCTCTGCCCTAGCAGACAGCACAGGAGAGGCCCAAGGCCACAGCAAGAGGCCCTGGGGCCACCCCATCTTGCAGCAATCCCAAATCCTGTGTGCACAGAAGGTCCTGAGGCAGCAGCAGAGCCCCAGGCAGTGCCGGGCAGAGCTGCCATCTGAACACCCACAGCCTCCCGAGGGACTTCTGCAATGGGCCGGGAGGATGGAAAGGAGGCAACAAGGCGCTCTGCAGCTGTGTAAAGGCCTTTAGGGCACAAAACCACTCCTCCACCCCACGCTGGGAGGCCGAGGCCCTGACCATTTGCTAAACAAACTGCCGACTGCGTGCTCTGCAGCTCCGGCACCCGACACGGGAGCTCTGAGCCTTGTGGCCAGGGTGCAAAAGGAGCAGCGTGGAGGGAGGGAAAAAGAACCAGGGTCTGCCCTTCCCATGGGCATCTGCTGGATGGGGTCTGACCTACCCGGGGTCCCAGAGGGCTCAGCCTTTCCTCTGCAGGAGAGATGGCGGTAGGGCAGCAGGAGCCCTGTCCCAAGCCCACGTCAGCATGGAGCCAGCGCACGGCAAACGCACGGCTCATGGGGCAACGTGCCGGAAACCACAGCGAGAGCCAGGGCTGGAAGGGGCCGCAGGGCCCTGCAGTGACAAGCCCTGAGCTCGGCACATGCCAGGGCCCCACGGGCCCTGCCCAGCCCGCAGTAAATTAATGGTTGTGAGCAAACGCCCGCCTCGTCCCACACAAAGTGGCTTTGTGAGGAGGGTGCTGGCAAACCACCACGAGCTGCTTTCCTGGTGATGCCCGAGCATGGCAGCACTCAGCCTTGCCTCAGCTCAGGGCAGGTCCACCAGCAGAGGGCCATAATTAGCTCTAATTAGCCCAGGCTTTCCATCCAGCTCTAGGATAGGCGGCGCACAGAGGGGCGCTGAGCAGCCGGAGCGTGGCCGCAGGGAAACTCAGCGCTGGGGAAAAGAGCCAGAGCAGCATCCCCATCGCTGCCGGCCAGGATGAGCCCCACAGCAGCACCTGCCCCTCACCGCTGCGGGGAGCCAGCGCCCGCTCCGGGCTGCCCTCAGGTCCCACACGGTGGCACCCCGGGGACATCAGCGAACTGCTGGGAGTTCAGCCACTGGGAGAAAGGAGGAGGAGAACAAGGAACCGAGGGATGGGGAGAGAGAAGAGCAGGGAGGAAGCGGCGGCAGAGGCAGGCAGTTTTCCCTTATATGGGCTAATCCTCTTCCAGCTAAGCGGAGCCAAAACCTAACCAAAAAAAAATTCCTTCCCCGGCTCACGTCAGCCCGGAGCAGGCTTCCTCCAGCTGCATGGGCACAGGGAGAGCTGCGGGCAGCCGTGGGGTGAGGCCATTCGGGGACAGGGGAACATCACCCACAGAGACCCAGGGCTGCAGCAGGATGGAGAGAAGCAGCACACATCAGTGCAGTGCCGGAATGCTGTGCAGCCCCACGGGTTCAGGCTCTCCCCGGACACCTGCACAGCCAGCCAGCAGCACCCGCATGCAGCCCGCTGCGGTGGGAAAGGATGAAGAGGTGTGAAGCACCCTGTGGTCAAACGGGGACAGCCCCACGGAGAAGCACTGCCTCATTCTCAGCTCCCTGAGGCCTCAGGTGGAAAGCAGAGAGCCAAGAGAAACCCCGAGCACCCATCCCCACATCTCCAGGGCTGAAGATGGGTTTGTGAGCTTGCACTCACAGCGGACTGAGGACAGCTGGGAGCTGCGGGCTGCACGGACCCTGTGCTGACCTCCGCGCTGTCCCAGCGGCACCCCGACCCTTTCCTGTTCCCCGCGGACGTTCTTTCCGAGTTGACTCAGCTTCCTGCCGCTCTCCATTCCCCAAACAGCCCGTGGAGCCGGCGCGGGGCTCAGCTCACGGAAGCGGGCAGGCGGCCGAGCGGCACCGAACCGGGTGGCACGCCGGGTGGCAGCTCACGTCCCAAAGCAGCTTCCCAGCGCTGATCCCCGGCTGGGTAGAAGCCCACTCCCGCACGAGGAGCGATCCACGGCCCACGAGAGCACCCATCCCGGGCCGGTAGCAACAACGCAGCCAAGGTGTTGGCACGGAGCGGGGCCGGCAGGAAGCTGCTCCGGGAGCGCCGGGATGCCCGCAGGAAGCAGGTGGCCGGGGAGGGCTCGGCTGCTGGAGCCGGGCCAGCGGGAAGCGGAGACCCGGGGCGCGCGTGGCAGATGGCGGGCATCGCGTCCCGCCCGGCACCGCACAGCGAGCCGTGCCGGCAGCGGGGAACCGCCGGCCGAGGGAACGGAGCCGACGGACGGATGTCAGTCCGAGAAGAGCGGGCGAGGGGACACAGCCGGAAGAGCGCCGAGGGAGCGCCCGGAGCTCCCCCCGCGGACCCGCAGCAGCTCCCCGCAGCAGCCCCGCTCTCTGCCCGGCCCGAGGGCACCGGCACCACGCCGCAACGGGAGCGGTGCCGCCTGCGGGCGCATCGAGCGTTCCTCCCGCCCTCCCCCCGTCCCGCGGTGCGGGCACTCACCAGCTTTCTCAGCGCGCCCTCGTCCATACCCTGCAGGCTCTCCTGGGACATCTTGCCCGCCCGCTGCCCCCCGCGAGGCTCCGGGTCCCGTCCGCTCCCGATTCAGCACCGGGCCGGGCCCGCTCCCTCAGCCCCGCGCAGTCCCGCTCCCGCCCGGCCCGGCCCCGCGCCGCCCCGCCCGCGCCCACCGCCGCCATTGGTTCTCCGCTCCGGGCGGGACGGCCCCGACCGGTCCCGCCGTCCCGCCCCGTCCCCGCCTCGGTACGGCCGCCCCCGGAGGGTGGGGAGAGGTGGGGAGCGGGCCCGGCTTCCCCCCGCGGTCCGGCAGCCCCCGGTGAGGCCCCCGAGGTGCGGAGCCCCGGCTGGGCACGGGCTGCCCGATCTCGGCGAAGTTTGTTTGTGTAAAAGGAAACTTTTGTTCGGAATTAGAAACCGACGGCAGAGAGACATCACGGAAATATTTCCGTCCGACTCGGGCTTTCAGCAGAAAAAAAAAAAAAAAAAAACAAGCCAAATTTGGCTGTAAATGTGCCCGGAGCTTTTTCCCGGACTGCAGCTCTTGGCCCCTTCCCTGGGGCTCGTTGGGGTCAGCCCGGTGGGTGCAGGAGGGCATGGTGTGCTCAGAGGTCCTGCACAGCACCCGGAGGTGGGAGCACGGCTGAGCTCTGCTGATACGGCAGCCTGGAGCACGAGAGTCTCAACACAGGCAGAGCTTTCCTCCGCAACTGCTGTCCATCACTACCTGTTAAGGTGTCCCCCTGTGCCTCACTGAGCCACATTTACCCAAGGTTGTGACCTTGCAGCACCTTTGCATGCTCAGCGTTGATGGCACTGCATCCCTTGGGCTCTCGGCAGCAGTGACCCTGGAGAGCTGCTGTGCGTGCCCCCAGCTGAACACAGTTTTGTAGGAGATTCTGTTAATCATGTAGAAGTAAAGCAAAGAGAGCCGCCCCCACGGGATGCCTGTGCCAGGCCTCTATTCCCCTGCCCCTGGCTACCAAAAGCCACCGCATGCGCTCAGGGAGGAGGGGGAGGAGGAAAGCTCCTGGCTTTGCTGTGCAACAAGCACACGTGTAACACAGCGATGCTGCTCCTCTGCATGCCAACATCCAGGGCAGCTCCCACGGAGCTATTGCAAGCAGTGACATCATGCTGGCTGAGTTTTGGGGTTCTCAGTTCCCATGGCTCAGGGCCCCAAGGTGCCCAGGCAGTGGAGAAACTCCTCCAGCCATGTGAGGCTGCACCTACCTCTCAGCTGAAGGAGGGAGGCAGGCAGCCAGGTTTTGTGCCTCCTCCTCTTCCTCCTGGGGACTGCACATCCGAGCCTTGCTGCTGTGGATTTGCCTATTTCCCACTCAGCATGCAGTTCAGCATCAGGTGGCTTCAAGAGCTGATAACCCCAGAGAAGAAGGAGGTAAGGAACGCACAGCAGTGTGCAGCTCTGCCAACCCTTCAGCACGAGTCTCTGTCCCGGAGCAGCCATGGGGCCCATCTGCCCGGGCACAACTGATGCCATTCGCTCAGGACAGAACACTCCTTCCTGAACAGATGTACCCATTTCTCAAATGTGACTCACGTTCTGCTCAAGGCCAGGGCAGGATCAGAAGTATTTAATTCCTCACATCCTGCACTGGCACAGGCACTGTACAGCCTCCTACCAGCACTGCGGATGCCTCATCACCGAGACATGAAGCAGCCGTGTGATGAGGAAGGTCCCACATCTGCCTGAAGAGGAGCAATGCTGTTGCAGGCACTGAGGACTCCAGTTCTCACCATACCCAGCTGGCACACACCGCTTCTCTTTGCTCTGATTTGTTTCAAGCATCAATCTCCGGGGCTGAACCTCTGCTGTGTCTACCATCCCATGCACAAGATGGTCTGTCCATCGGTCTGCCCTCTCCTGCTGCTCACAGAGGTGCAGGCACTCCACAGCGTTATGAGCAGTGTGTGGCACACAGAGTGTTGCACTGAGCCAGATGCTCCTGCTGTATCTCACTGTGCCAAGCACCTGGTTGTGCCGGTCCCATGCTGCCAACAGGAGCAGCTGCACAGCATCAGAGGATGCAGCCACGGGCTGGCAAGAGCACTGCGTCTGCTGGGAGCAGAGGGAGATGGGAGACAGAGGCTGGAGCAGGGCTGGCATGTGCTCAGGACAGCAGTATGTGTGCAGGGCTAGGATGAGTTCTGCGCGCCATTCAGGCAAGAGCAAGCCTGCAGGCAGCCACAAGGATGGAGACCTGAGCAGAGGCACAGCTGGTAGCCAGGAAACTCAGTCCTGCTTGCTTTAATGCAGGTAAATGGCTGTGTGGAGATGTCCCAGCCCTTTGACACCTCACAAACACCTGGAGCTGGGCAGAAAACTCTGTCAGTCCAGAAGAGAGGTCACAGATCTGCTATGGTTCCAACTCAGCTCTAAATGCCTGTACAAGGCTCTGACCATGTGAGCAAGCGAAGGAGGCTGCTCCAGCATCTCCATAGGCAGGACATTCCTAAGAGGTGACCCGTCCGTCCCCAGCCCCCCCCATCTCTCCCATTTCTTTGTCACACTGTCTGAACACAGCTATTTTTTCCCTTTTTGGGACACCTCTGGAGCCCATAAATCACAATGCTGAGATCTGCTATAGCCAAGAAAGGAAGGGTTTGGAATAAGGACAAGGGGTACAGGGAAGATACCAATCCTTTTAACTTAAAAACCAGGTTACAGACATTCCCAAACATGACGGTCTTTCAAAGGGGCTTCCTAGAAATTGTGCCACGAGCAAAGCCAAAGAGCCCCAGAGTCCCTGGGCACAGTCTGCTCTCATTGTCAGGATGGCTGCAGGCAGTTCCCTAAGGGAGAGCTCCTCTGGGGCTGGGCAGGGGGAAACCAACTTCTGCATGACCACCAAGCCAGGGCCCCCTGCACCCCACTGCCCAGCAGCTGGTATCTCCTGGGCCCTGGCAGCAAGAAACGGCAAAACAGGCCCTTGTGACACACTGCTCCCAAAAAAAGCCAGACGTGTGTAATGCAGTGAACAACCTGTGCGAGACTGGTTCTGGTATTCATTAATGAGCCAAACAACGCGGTGACAAAGGGCTCCTGCATGCGCTGCACCCAGCGGGTCACGTCCTGCCCCATGGCACAAGCATTGGTTGTGTCATCCAACTTCTGGCTTCCTTCAATCTGCAAGTTGCCAATGGCTAATCCATCATCCACCAACAGGATATATCTTGCTCTGCTGCTCCCTGGTGACAGCCCTGGCTGTTTCCAGTCCCTCGCAGTCACACCTGTCCCAGCCACAGACCCTTCTGTCTTATTTGCCATGTGAAATACTTCAAGAGCAGCCTCTTTTCTGATTATATTTTCTCTTTGAACGAACTTGATTTTCCACTGAGTCAGTCACAAGGAACTAGAAAAAGTTGCACCTTCTCTCTCAGGCTGCTCTCTGCCAGGAGCATCCTCCCCTTTGCTGTAGCATAAGCCATGCTCCCCAGCTCTACCTGACTCCTGTGGGCTCACTGTGAAGAGACATTCTTGGCAACACAATATTTTCTGCGTGCAAAACGTCAACTGTTTTCCTAGTTGTAATAAATCTCAGTCATTACTGTTCTTTTCCATTATTTTTATAGTTGCTCACAGACTTTTTTTCTGATGCAGAGTTGGCTTGACTACTAACATCCTTCTGTTTCTTCCTCGCTTTGCACAAGCTCAGATATGAAGGCTGTAGGTTGGAGACCGTCTGTGCAGAAGCGGTAGTCTAATGCCAGGATTGGCTTCGTTTCTTCATGTTTGGTCTAGACAGCTTATATAAGACTCAAACAGCTGCTTAGTTAGGAGTCCTCCCTGCTTGCGACTCTGCCAAGTCTTGCGCTGGACTATTAATCCTTGTCAGTATGTCTAGTCTGCTGCAGGCAGGCTGAGCTATATTGCATTAAAATGCCTTATCTACATACAAAAAGATTGCTAGCACATTGTTTGGCATTTGATACGTGGTCACAAATTCCCTTCGGAAATAGGAGAATTTATCCACAGCAAAGCAGCTGCGGCCACCATCAGTATCCTGGGGTGCTTGCCAGCTCCATGGTCCCTGCAAAGTACTTTTCTATCCTTTCCGTGTCTGGAGGTCGTTCTTATAAGTCATGACATCAATCGCTAAATCAGGGTCAGCCCTTGCTTCTCCATGTGTGGCTGTCACAAGCCAGTGCTGTATTCCCCATGGCTCCGACCATGGCAGCCCTTTCCAAATGGAGATCCTGTATGTCAGTGGCTGCTGAACTCCTGCTCCACCTGAGGTCTTCACTGCCACTACATCAAATGTGGCTGTGGGCAGCTGCCAGTGCACGGTGTCTCCACAGCTGACACAGAGCCCAGGTGGGTGGCTGCAGAGCCAGTGGCCCCAGGTCTGGCACTGCTGTGGTGCTGGGAGCCAATCCTGGCCAGATCCCACCTGCAGTCTTGCTTCTCCTTCTTCCGCATCTCGGGGATTTTTCACTCTCTTTCCCAGCACTTGGAATAAAGCCTATGTCCAGAAGGGTACCAGTTCTCCACTCTTTTTCGCCATGCTGTGGGATGGGAGAGCAGCTGGTTCGCTTTCGTGGTGCACTTCTGCTTTCTGCCTCTGCCACCATCACCCTCCAGAAAAACAACTGATAGCCTCAGTGATGGGGAGGCTGTTACCTACAACAAAGACTGCACTACATCTCCTTTGAAGGAGTTACCAGAGGTGGCTTTGAAGTAATTTTGAATTTTTTCTTCCATCCAAAGCACAGGGACCAAGAAGTATTTCATAGGTCACTGGACAAGGGAGTAACAAAACTGCAGGAACACAAGTCCTTCCCAACATGAGATGAGTCACAGAATCCTCCAACGCCAAAGGACTTCTGCACATACTTCTACCTCTACTAGTGCAAGCCACTGGAGACTTTACATTTTCACAGTTTTGAATGCTGCAGCTTGCTCTCCCTTGATGAATTCTCCTGTCTTGACACTGCCACAGACAGCCCCTCAACGTCAGCCATGTTTCACAGCAAACACACCACATTTCACAGAACACTTAAATTTCTCCTAATTTGTACCCAATTTGGATTCTTCTTGTGCTGTGCTGTTTCTCAAGGAAGCTGTTCTCCCAGCCACCCAAAAC